TACCCTCCAATGGATTGATACCAAAGACAACAGTGGCAGGCACGATGGGATTAAAATTACCTCCTGGAGTGCTGAAAGAGGCTCAACACTCAGTTCTCTTGGATATAGCACGTATTGTTCGAAAGTTTTTAAATATCTAAAAAGTAATAGATATTAATCTGAAGTTGCTGGACTTCTGGTCTCCCACCTCAGAAACTTACCCCGCAAAGCGAGAATAAAGAGTGGAAATAATAATAATAACCCCGCAAGGGGCAACTGATAGGTGCAGTTGCAGGGGTTTTACGATCCCCCGGTTTCTTTAGTACAGTACACCACCAACAGATAAACACACAACCGTTCACTAAATCATTTACACTCACACTAAGGACACAGACAGTACACACCCTAGGGCTACCTCCCCTAGGATGACCTGGCAGCAGGTATAAAGTGCATCTCCCCATCAAAATGGTGCGAACTAGGAAACAAATAGCCTCGGACGAATCCGAAGTAAGGGCTCGATGTCGTATGTTCCCGTAAGACTGGCTGCCATAAGACTTTCATCATTAAACTCTGAACCGTGCTTGGATACCGTTGAGTCTCCCACGAGAGGAAGAGGAATCATTTGCCAAATAGGTAGGCAACGAAGGATGAAGTGGGACCGCAATATGAATATTGCTGCTATCCGAGCTTACTTATTGGCTACAAACTTAGAGAAAGAAAAAACAGGATATCGCAAAATAATCAATCGTCACTGGAATGAAAAATATCCGCAAATAGCTGTATCATCTCAAAGACTCGCTGACCAGGTCAAGCAAATATTAGAACGCCAGTTTTTATCCGAATCGGAAATTAATGCAATCAGAACAGAAGCAGGTAATATACTAGCCCGAAACTCACAGATAGAAATACAACAAGTAGAAGAGGCAGAATCCTCGGCGATTATGCAATTGGAAACGACTTCTATGAATACCCAAGAAGCGTCACACACCATAGAGATGCGTAATATACTATTAAGAGAACACATAATGTATGAAGGAATACCTTTGGACAGTAGACCCTCTATACCAAAGGTACCATATTTCAAAAGAACTTTATCCGCTGTCAACACCGTCAACGAGATTCTTGCTGAGCATATGTCGATGGGTATAACTCTAGAAGAGATATGTCATTGGATATACGTAGGGGCCTGAACTGTCTCGATGGAGCAAGGTTTGATAAAAGATAAGGTGAATTGTAATAAAACTAATGAATGCAAAGATCCTCCCTGGAAGATAAGAATTAAAAAAAAGATCGAAAATATACAGTGTAAAATCGGAATTATTACTAATTACCTTCGGAACCCAGAAAATTCTTCTTTAAAACTAAAGAAAAAAATTGATGAAATTATTGTATTAAATATTAGAGAACTAGTAAGAAGTGAGTTAAAAAAAAAACTTGGTGTTTATGTGGAAACACTCAAGCAGAAATTAGCAGTGTTAGCAAATAAAATTAGGAGGTATAAAGGAGCTCATGATCGAAGGAGACAATATTTAATAAAAGAGAACAATATTTTGATAAATCTTTAAAACCTAAAAGGGAAGATAATAACGATGTCTATCCAGATCCTATTGAAATATCAGAGTATTGGAAAGGTATTTGGGAAAGTAAAAAATGTTTTAACAATGAAGCAAATTGGTTGGAAAATATTCGCCATGGCTTATTAGATCTCCAACCTATGGAAGCAACCAGCATCACTGTGGAAAATGTGACTAAGGCACTCAAGCAAATGAAAAACTAGAAAGCTTCTGGACCAGATAAAATACAAAATTACTGGCTAAAGTCCTTTAGCAGTGTTCATAGCCACCTAGCTGTGTGGTATCAGAAACTATTGTCTGAAGAGATTGACTTACCAGCAAAGTTCTGTACCGGTATGACTTACTTAATAAAGAAAGGAAGCAAAAACAGGCTGGAGAAACAGGATTTGAGACCCATAACTTGTCTTAATGGTGTGTACAAATTACTAACTGCTGTAATCAGGAATAAGTTAAAAGATTACATTGAGGAAAAGGGTATTATGGCAGAGGAACAGTTAGGTATTAAGGCAGGTTCAAAAGGTTGCGAAGAACTTCTGATTATCGATTCTTTTATTGCTGCTCAAGTTACAAAAAAATCTCGTAATATTACATTGTCTTGGATCGACTACCGTAAAGCCTTCGATTCGGTTCCCCATGATTGGCTTCTGGAAGTGTTGAAAATCTATAAAGTAAACCAGGCAATAATAGATCTATTAGAATGACTGATGAAAATTTGGAGGGTCTCAATCAGCACACCAACTTTGAACGGAATGAGTTCCAATGAATACATATCTATAAAGAGAGGTATTAAGAGGTAGGCGCTTAATCCACTTAGCAAATTATTGGTTGATACAGAAAAAGGGTACCTACTTAACTCTGAAATGAAGCTTTCTCATTCATTCTATATGGATGACCTCAAGCTTTACGCTAGGAATGAAGATGAAATGAGAGCTCTTCTGAAGACAGTAAGAACGTTCAGTAATGATATAAAAATGGATCTAGGAATAGATAAATGTGCAATAGTACACGTGAAAAGAGGAAGAGTTATTAAGGGGAGTAATATTTAGATATCAGAAAATGTAATAATGAATCAATTGAGAGAATCTGATTCTTACAAGTACCTTGGAGTACACCAACTTCTGAAATTCAATGCTAATTCAAAGAAAAACTTTGAGGAAGAATTTAAATACCGTGTTAAATTAGTACTTAAATCACATTTAAGTGGAAGAAATTTGATACGGGCATTGAATACCTGGGCAATACCTGCTTTAGCCTACTCATTTGGGGTACTGAAAAACCTGTACCACTACAACCCATGAAGGGTCTGGGGTTCAGTACTATTTAGGGAAAGTACTGTTTCTAGGTCAACGGTTGTGCAAGGAGGCGATTTGACAGAGATCACGCTCAACCACCAGGTTTTCCCCCTTGATTAATTATTTAATTGAGGGTGCCCACTTTATAGAGGCTGGGTGTGCCCCAGGAGAGACTCTCAACCCAGGGTCGCCCCACGGCCAATGAAACAGATAAATAAATTTTCTGACATGAGCCGGGGGTCGAACCTAGGAGCTTTGCATTGGAAGCTCAGTGCCCTACCACTGAGCTACCCCATTCCCCATTTGGGGTACTGAAGTGGACTAAAACCGATTTACAAAGGTTGGATCGTTTTCTTAGAGTACAGATGGTGCTTTCAAGGAAGAGGCATCCAAAGTCATCTGTAGTGAGATTGTATCTTCCTAGGAAGATGGGAGGGCGTGGTCTAATCAGCCTCTTGAATTTACTCCGAAAGGAAGAAAATAATCTTCGCAACTACATTATAAACCATACTTCCAATATCCTTTCAACTATCGCATCATTAGAAATAAATTATACAGCTTTGAATTTACGAAGCCCTGGAATCCCGATTAGTGAAGCAGATGATGGCACTCGATCAGAAATATGGAAAAATAAACCTTTACATGGACGATTTTATCATTCATTAATGGATGTAGGAGTGGACGCTGAGGCGTCATTGACATGGCTGAAGAGTGGAAGTATCTTTCCGGAAACTGAAGGATTCTTGTTTGCTATTCAAGAACAGGTAATAGCCACAAAAGCATACAGAAAACATATATGTGGAGAGGGCATCGATGACTTATGTCGCTTATGCAAAAATGCAGTTGAATCAATTCAACATGCAACATCGGGATGCACAATACTTGCGGGTAAGGAATACTTGCACCACAATGCAACTAATGTAGTGCATCAAGCTATGGCTCAGAAAATGGAACTCGTCGATAAGTATTGTCCATATTATAAATATCATCCAGAACCAATTAACTCCATGCGCAATGTCAAGGTGTTCTGGGATCAACCGATCCTGACGGATCAACCGATCACACCATCCCCCACAATAGACCAGGCATTCTTATAATAGATAAAGGTAAGCAATCTGCGTTTATCATAGAGATTGGAGTTCCTTCTGATGATAACCTACACAAGGTAGTAGCGGAAAAAAAGAGAAAAAACTACGTAGAATTGGCTGAAGAGATCAAACAATTATATCATTTAAAGGAAACCCGAATTCTGCCAATTGTAATCTCGTGCAACGGACTGATACCGGAAGAAGCTGTATCTTCGCTGTGACAACTAGAACTACCATCTCAGACGATCGAAAGAATGCAACAAGCGGTGTTGTTGGGAACAGCAAGTATAATCAGGAAGTTCAAAAATATTAAATAATTATGAAAATATACAAATGTAATTTTTGGCTGACCTAATAGGTCCCCAACTATTACATATTATAAACACCATTGTATATGTGGAAAATAAAGAGATAATAATAATAATAATAATAATAAACCCGCAAGGGCAACTGATGAACGCAGTTGTTAGGGTATTACGCTCCCCCGGGTTCCTGAGTACATCATACCGTTCACAAACTCACACATTACAGCATACAATAACACAAACACCGACACTAGGGCATTTTCAGAACACACCTTAGGGCAACCTTACCTAGAAAGGCCTAGCAGAAGGTTTAAAATGCAATCACCCATCAACAATGGAGCTAAGGAATCGACGTATAGCCTCGGACGAGCCTGGGAATGAAGCTGCACTAGGCGGAACCTTCGACAGCTTCCTTCAGGTAGTGGCGGAGCAAGTGGCGCTACCCTGTCGCAATGGACCACAAGACTGCAAGAACCAGCAACTAGTTCGAGTTCGGGCTTGGGCGAGACCATTTCTCCTCCCGCACGAACCCGGCAACAGAGACCAAGAGGTGCTCGAAGGATGAAATGGACGCCAGAAATGAACAAGGCAGTCATCCAGGCATATCTTTTGGCAACACCATTAGAAACAGACAAGACAGGATACCTCAGCAGGATTCAACAGTATTGGCAAGAATTATATCCACAGATGACTATAAGAACACAAAGACTCAGTGATCAGGTTTGAGTAATCCGGTCGAGAAAATTTCTCACCGCAGTGGAAATGGATAATATAAAAGCAATCGCATCAGAACGACTAGGGATAATAGCTGCTGAGAATGAAGAGCGACCAACTGATGTTATAGAACTCATAGAAAGATCATTGGCGATGGAGGCAGTTTCTTCAGAAGAAGAAGACAAAGAGGTACAAAAACTGGTTCTGTCACTGTTATCCCAGCATATGCTTTATGAAGGAATACCACATGATATTAGACCCACCCTATCAAGGATTCCTTACAACTTTAGATCCCGGATGACTGTGAAAAACGTTAATGAAGCTTTAAGTAAACTTATTATTGACTACCCTGAAATGGACATTGAAGCTGTTTGTCATTGGGCTTATGTTGCAGCTAGAGTCGTTATTATCGAACTAGGTTTAGGAGAAGATATACCAAAGGAAGATAATGGCTATATGAAACCCCCACGTTGGCAGAGAAGATTAGAGAATAAAATAGCTTCGCTAAGGCCAAGCATTGGGGTAATTACAAGCTATATCAGAAATCCGGCTGGAACAAGTAAAAAACTAAAAAGAAGGATTGATGAAATAGTTGTACTACAAATAGGAATGGTGTTAGAATCAGAGCTCACCGAAAAACTTGCTTTACATGCTGATCTACTAAAGCAAAAACTTACAGTTTACGCAAACAAAATACGGCGCTATAAAACCTCGATGCTCCGTAAACAGCAGAATAAAAGATTCACAAACAGTGAGAAGCAGTTCTATCGGAACTTGGATGAAAATAAAAAAGGAAGTGTAAATTGCTCGTTAACCGATAATATAATCGACTATTGGAAGAGGCTTTATGAGGACAATGTAGATCACAATGACGAAATATACTGGCTAACATCAGTGAACAGGGAACTTCAGGTGGCACCTCAAATGCCTGATTTTGATATTTCAACAGAAGAAGTAGTCATCGCTAGAAAGAAAATGAAATTTGGAAAGCTCCGGGCAGTCATAAAATTCAAAATTATTGGTGGAAAAACCTAACCTGTTTGCACGAAATACTTGCGATAAACTATAAAAAAAATTATGAGATGACAAATGGACATTCCTAACATAGTCTGTCAGGGTGTTACCGTTTTAATTCCTAAAAAACAGGGAGACCTATTGGAACCACAAGACTTCAGGCAAATTACTTGTCTCAACGGAGTTTATAAGATTTTAACATCCATTTTATCAAGTAAGATTGAATGTCACCTAAGATCCAATAATTGTATCCCAACAGAGCAACTTGGTTGTAGGAAAGGAGCCCACAGCTGTGAGGAGCTGTTGCTCATAGACTCGTTTGTTACAGGCCAAACGACCGCGAATAAAAGAAATTTGTCAATAGCATAGATTGATTACAGAAAGGCATTTGACTCGGTCCCTCACAGTTGGCTTTTAAAAGTATTACAATTGTATAAAGTTCATCCATGTTTAACTGAACTTCTGAAGAAATTGAAGAACTGCTGGAAAACTAGATTGAGGATAGGACATGAGCAGCAATCAACAGACCCTCGGGTGTTCATAAAAATTTCGAGAGGTATATACCAGGGAGACTGCCTCAGCCCCCTTTGGTTTTGTCTTGCAATGGCTCCACTATCAATTTTATTAAATCGAGAGAGAAACGGATACAAAATAAAACTCAATGAATTGAGTGCAGTAATCAGCCACAGTTTTTATATGGACGATTTAAAACTTTTTCAAAGAACAAATCTCAGTTACAATCTATCCTAAATACTGTGACTCAATTTAGTGACTCAATACACATGTCACTTGGTATTGCAAAATGTGCTGTTCTTCGTGTGATTAAAGGGAAGCCAAGTAACTCTGAGAACATATTTAATGAAGCATTGCATATTAAACATCTAAAAAATGAACAGCTATATAAATATCTTGGGATAAAACAGAATGTTAAAATAGCGAGCAAAGAGGCAAAAAACAGACTGGTAGAGTCGTTGAAAAAGAGATTGAAAATTATTCTTACAACATACCTATCCTCAGGTATTATAACAGCCATTTCTCCTACAGGTTCGGAATTTTAAAATGGTCTACAACTTCACTCCAGGAATCGGATAGATTTATACGGACGAGTATGACTAAATACAGAATGCATCACCCGACTGCATCTATGGCAAGACTTTATTTACCAAGAAAAGAAGGTGGGAGAGGTCTCATAAACATTGAAGAGGCGTGCCGGAAACAAGAAATGACCCTCAGAGAATACTTCAAACAAAGTGAAGTACCTTTTCATAGGATAATGTGCAATCTCGACCATGGACACACAGCATTACAATTAGCCACTATAAATAAAACATTCTCTACTAGTTGGTTAGTTAAAGGAAATCTGTTTCCCGAGACAGAGGGCTTTCTGATAGCAATCCAAGATCAGGTCATAGCAACTAGGTTTACTTGCGACATGTCTTGAAGCAACAGACAGTACCAGACACGTGTAGGCTCTGTGCCAGCACGTTCGAGTCTATTCAGCACATAACTGGAGGGTGCGGAGTGCTGGCTGGTACAGAATATCTCAAGAGATATGACGATGTTGCAAAAATGTATCATCAGGCAATTGGTCTAAAAATAAAGTTAGTGAATGATTCAATACCTTATTATAAGTACAACCCTAAAGAACTTGTCCAGAAGGAAGGAATGAAATTGTATTGGAATCAATCTTTTATAACAGATCATACTGTGCTCCATAACAGACCTGATATCGTGTTGATCAACTGTAATATGAAAACAGCAGAGATAATAGATATCGCTGTACCGAATGATGGGAACACCAACTCAGTCTGCGCCGAAAAAATACGGAAATATCAAACTCTTGCAGCCGAGTTAAAAGATCTCTACAGACTGAACAAAGTGACAGTAAGGGCTTTAGTGATCTCTAGCAATGGGCTGATTCCAAAATCCACTGTAGAAGCTACCGAGAAGTTAGGCCTATCTACAGCTACGATAAATGAAGCCCAGAAAGCTGTGCTGCTGAACACTGTGAGAATAGTAAGGAGCTTCCTTAATATCCAATAAAACTAAAAACATTAACGTGAAGTGGTTGAAGTTAATTCTTCCCCACTTCAGGAAAATACCTTTTTTTAAAGAGATAAAAATAAATAATAATAATAATAATGCTTTTTTTATTCTGGGAAGAGTCCCTTTAGAATAATACAGAGAAACAAAAATGTGGGCTAAGGAGCCTCAGATATACATAAACAAGAGTATAGTTTGATTAAATAGTAAAAAAAAAAAAAAAAAAAAAGATATTTAGAGAAATCATAAGTTACTTTCTAATTTACATCAGTTAATAATAAAAATAAAAAATTGAAAATAAACATGAAGTAAAAATAATAAAGAACGATCTAATAATTTATATACATATTTACAGTAGTAACTATTTACAATTTTATGATGAGGACTGGATGGATAAGAAATGATTAAACAGTTGGGATTTAAAGGTAGGAAGGGTTTTGGATTGACGGATGTGGGGAGGGATGAAGTTCCATAGGGAAGATCAAATAATAAATGATTTATCGAAAGCAGCGGTTCGGTGGGCCATTATATATAGATCTTAGGACCGGGAACGGGTATTGCGGGAGTGGACAGAGGATTTAAATTGAAGGAACTCGGCGATGTATGAAAGACGGCGGGAGTGAATTACTTGGAAGAGGAAGGATGCCAGGAAATAGTTACGGCGGTTGGAAGGATAAAGTCACTTCAACTCTACATAGAAACGGTATCTATGTGTATATATATATATATATATATATACAAAACATATTAACGATATACACAGATATATACAATAAAATACTGAGATATAAAAAAATTAATAAATAAAAATAAAATTACTTCAATCAATTAACTGCTGGTGGCCATCGTAATTATATGACCCAGAAATTTTTGCAAGCTTGCGGAAGTTTGAATTTATAGTAGGTGGTGGAATAGGAGTTGTTTGGAGGAGTTTATGGACGTGGTTTGACGTATGGAGATGGGTAAGGAGTTCGATAAGGAGGTTGCACGAATGACGAAGGATTTACTGAAGGAAGTGGTTTTCAGGAAGGGGATATATAAATATATAGGTTGAGATCTGGTATTGAGAGAGTGGATAGAGGAGCGTAAAGTAAGGAGTTCTAAGATGTAGGGAGGGTTTTTGCTTCTGAGAACTTGAAAAAGGTAAACACCGTCAAAAAGAAGGAATTGCCGTCGGGAAGTAGGATATAGCCACTTTAACTCGCTGTACCAACAAGATATATGAGAACGCTTCGGAATCCCAAATATGAATCTTATGAAGCTATTCATAATTTTCTTCAGTCTCGCCTCAATTCTGTGGACAGCCCTCCATACACCAGGCAACCGTAGTCGAAGTGGGGGAAGACAAGGGATGTTACTAGGAGCTGTCTGTTTTTTTTTTTGGAACGGAATCACTGAATCGAAGGAATTGTTTAAAGATAGTTATGGATTTACGAATAATCTGGGAAATGTGGTTGTTCCAAGAGAGGTTCTGATCAAAGATCACTACAAGGTTTTTGACTGTCAGAATGAAATGGATGGGACGGTGATTTATGTAAAGCAAAGGGGAGAAAGAAAGGAAACTAATGAGGTGCTTGGAGCAGATTAGGACTGCCTTGGTTTTGTCTACATTCAACTTTACTTTATTTTTTTCCGCCCACCTATGGATACAGTCAATATCCTCTTGTAGTTTTCGGATAGCCTCGGGCGTCTCAGATGGTTGGAACGATAAGTAAATTTGTAGATCGTCTGCATATAAGTGATAGTGGGAATGACTAAAGGAGTCAGGAAGGTCGCTAATATAAATGGAGAACAGAGTTGGAGAGAGTGAGGATCCCTGAGGAACTCCTTGTGTTAATTGAAGAGAGGAGGTAGGAGATTTGTCAGGAATAACTACTATCTGGGAGCGATGGGATAAAAAGGAGAGGAACTATTTCAGAACGCTATTCGATGTAGGTAGGCTTTGGAGTTAGGTAATGAGGAGATTATGATTGACGGAGTCGAAGGCTTTTGAAAAGTCGAAAAGGGCTAGGATGGAGATTTTCTGTTTGTCTATGGATGATTGAAGGTCATGGGTAATCTTTAATAAGGCAGATTGGGTGGAGTATTGGGAACGAAAACCGCATTGTAGAGGATTGAGGAAACAGTTTTGCTCTCGAAATTTGGTCGCGAACTAATCTTTCTAGAGGCTTGGACAAATTGGATAAAATGGAAATGGGTCTCTAAAGTCGGATACTAGTCAAGGAGCTGGGACTTTTTTCAACGGCCGGACTATGACTTTTTTCCAGGCTTTTGGTAAAATGGAATTTTGGAGGGAAAAATTGTAGAAGTGTAGGAGTATAGGAAGTAAGTTTGGTATGCGGAGTTTAATGATTTTCATAGGAATTTGGTCAGGACCATAGTCGTTGGTTTTGGATTTAAGGATAGTAGAGAGTAGCTCAGGTCAGTTGGAGAGATATCAAGAAAAAAAAAAACATATCTATAAA